CCAGGCGGCCTTCTCCGCAGAGCACAGCCCCCTGTCCCTGCCCTGCCCTCTCCCAGACCTGCTGTCACGTCTCGGTCCCTGCCAGTGGACATCTCCTGATGTGGATGCTGAGCCTCAGAGCACCCTGCCTGTCACCCAAGGAGATGGGCAACAGGTGTGGGTCAACCAGGAGGTCTCTTCAGCATCCTTCCTCCATCTCTGACATTGTTACCTGTGTGCACTCCCCTGAGCTCTCCCCACACAGCATCTCGGGGCGTACAGTGCAGCCCCAGAGCCCCCCAGCAGGTGGGTACCAGCCAGGCTCCCAGGGGTGCCCACGGAGGAGGTGAGATGCCTTCTGAAGTGCCGCAAGGAAACCATGCAACCAGATTCACGTAGCAAGTGTCTCTTCAGCGGGTTTGCCCCTATATATAGGTGCATCTACTGAATATATATATGTCTTAGCAATAGTATACTGGAAACTGTGCTACGCATGAACTGATGGTGATGAACTAATGCATACAAAAGTATGGAGGGGTCCATGTACCCTTTAAGTACAAAGTTCTTCCTGTCCAGCCACAGGAGGGTCCAATTTTGGGGCACGACGGGTAACCTGCTGGGGGTCCTGGGGGCATGCGGCTTTGACACCTGCCCAGTTTGCTCATGGAGCTGCCGGATCCGGGAGGATGGACTGGTGCTTTTTTTCTCAGGGCAGCAGAGTCCAGCGGAGGTGCTCCAGCCGAGCTGTGATCCCTGGGCCAACAGCCAGGGAGAGCCAAGATGCCCACTGCTCCATGCCCACGGGCTGTTGCAGGCTTGGGCATGGGACAGCAGCCAGCGAAAGCCCTATGTGCATTCCTCTCATGGCAGGTGAAGATGCGGGTTAACCCTGGGAGAGGAGGACCTGGAGATTTCCCCTTGGAGTTGAAAGGTGCTAACATCCCACCTCCGGCTGCTGCACAGCACCCGTGGGTCATCCCAAATGCATTTTGTGGGCAGGTGAGCAGCTCTGGAGTGGCTGTGGTCGGCGAGAAGAGATCCCCTCTGCACATCTCTCACCCAGCTGAAACGGAGAAGCCATGGCTGAGCACGCTGCCCACTCCAGCAGCCAGGTGAGGAGCCGGGATGCTCTCAGGCTTCTCCTTGTGCAACCGGGGTCTGCCCAGCAGGGACGGACAGGGCTTCCTGCCCCTCCACGTGGCACGTCCAAAGCCCAAAATGTCTGGAGAGCTTTTGTTTTCGCCCTGTAATTGCACAGCCCACTGTGAGCTAGTGGCAAGTCCCCACTCCTCCTTGAGCAGGCAGCGGCTGCCAGAGGGTCTCTACTCCAGCGGGCATATCCCACACACATCCCTTCCCCAGGCACCTGCCCTGTGCATGGGCCAGGATCTTCCTCACGGAGAAAGTCCAGCTGACGTTCCTCTCCTCCGACCGGGGGAGAGAAGCCACTCTGTCCCAGTCATCGTCACCAAGAAAAAGCTGCATCAATAAATAACCCTCATCTCAGCCAGCATCACTCCTAGGCTTGGGTCAGCAAGCGAGCGGGAGGTCCAAGTTGTCCCACGCCGTAGCTCTCCTTGCTGCCTTTGGGGTTTTCCTCTGAGGCTTCACTGTACAATGAGAACAAGACCAGTTGCCTGGGTTTTATTGCTAAGTCCAAGTGAAGTGGCTTCGGTTTGCATATTGGGGCTCCTCTGGGGATGGGGAGGGATGGGGACCGGGCTGGGGGGGAGCAAAGGGTCATTCTTCACTGGCTGACTCTTGGAGAAGGTGATGGATGTCTTGGAAGGAGGGACGATCTTTAGTGTCCCGTCTCCAGCAGCTGAGCATTAGCTTATAGACTGAGTCCGGGCAAAGTGCAGGCTGGGGAAGGTACGTCTTCAAAACAAAAGGCAAAGATGACAAAGGGAGAGAGTTACTGCCATGGAAACCAAAAAGCAAACCTCTCCTGGGAAGCCCCATTTCTCTGTGCACAGGGGTGAGGGGCTGTGCTGCTCTGTGTTCAGGGGCAAGGGGACCCCCAGACAGCACAGTGGGGGGGCTGGGAACACCTGCTCATGGCTCCCAGCCTGGCTAAATGCTGGAGCGGGGATCAGCGGGTAAGCAGTGCCTCGGGCTGTGCGAAGCGCAGGGTTTGCTGTGCCAGGCCTTTCACCAGCGACTCCTTCCCAGAAGAGTTTCTCTCCCATAACTCCTCCATAGCCAAGCTCCCTACCTGGTCACCTTAAAGTCTTTCCCCAGGTGTCCCAGGCACATCGCTGCCTGTCCCGTCCCATCCAATCCCATCCCATCCCATTCTATCCCATCCCATCCTATCCCATCCCATCCCATCCCATCCCATCCCTACCTGCCGGCCCTGATCCCGGAAAAACTCGCCGGTGTTTTCGATGACCTGCTCGTCAGACAGCTGGGAGTAGGGCTGCTCCCGGCAGAGCGTGAAGGTCTCCCACAGCGTCACGCCGAACGCCCACACGTCACTGGCTGTCGTGAACTTGCCCTGGCCGGAGGGAGTAGAGCAAGGTCAGGCATGGGCATTACCCCATCCTGCTCCATAAGCCCTTCATGCTCAGGGTTCAAAACCTCTTTCTGGATGCTTCGGCTTCCAGATCTGAGCCCAGAGGAGGGCTCGGTCCCGCAGACCTGCTCTCTGCCCAGGGCCAGAGCCTGGCGAGCTCTGGGTCTGGCTGGCAGTGACTGCTCTGAGAGCTGGGGCTTGGTGAGGACCCAGCTCCCTGCAAAGATAAAAAGTAACCCTGCTCCCTCTTCTAGGTCTGACCATGGCTGGGAGAAAATGTTAAGCATCTTGCTCAAAGGCTGGGCACCAGGACACCAAAGATCACCATCGTCCCCCCATCCCACCTCAGAAAGCTGCTAGCACTCCTGCTTTCCGCATGCTTCCCCCTAAAGCTGGGCTCCAGGGAGGACAGCCTTCCACATCCCTTCTGCACCCCCCAGCCTGAGGAAAAGAGGCTGTGAGCAGCCCCAGGGTCCTGTCAGTGACCCCAGCCCCCACGTACCAGCAGGATGCTCTCCCAGGACATCCAGCGGATGGGGAGCACCGCCCGCCCCTGGATGCGGTAGTAGTCCCCGCTGTAGAGATTCCTGCTCATGCCGAAGTCAGCTATCTTGATGGTGTACTGCTTCCCCACCAGGCAGTTGCGCGTCGCCAGGTCTCGGTGCACGAAGTTGAGAGAGGAGAGGTACTTCATACCGGAGGCGATCTGGGTGGCCATGAACCGCAGGTCACTGTAGCTGCCAGGGGGGACACAAGGGAGGACTGAGGTGCCGGGAAGGATGGCAGCACAGGGGGTATGCAGCCCCAATCGGGGCACCCCACAGGAGGGCAGGGTGCCTAAAGCAGGGTGCCTAGACCCGTCCTGGGCTGTGGTACCTGACGGTGAGTGCGTGGCTGGCG